TCCTGCTCAGAGCTCCTGCTCAGAGAGGTGGTGGCTGGGCCTGAGGAGCAGCCCCTCGCCTGCACTAACAGGCCCATTAGTCACGGCTGGCAAACCAGAGCCCTGTGGAACAGGAAACTGGCTCATCCAGGAGGAGCCAGACAGCTAGATGCACATACACGTAACGACTGCTGTGGGATGCATAAACTAGTGTGTTTTAGGAAACTGGCAGCTCTAACGCTGGCTGAAGTTACCTCCGTGTCAATAGCTCGGTAGACCTATCTAATGAACTATTTGTGGGTGCTTTGAATGACTTTCCTTTAGAGAGACATCTTCTGAGCTACAGCACAGCTGCGCCAGAATCACACGATGTCACAGGCTTGCTCCCTTGCATCCCTCTTGGCTGTTTAGATGTGCGATAYATAGCATGCATTAGGATAAAGTGAGTCAGCTGTGCAGGGTGGCGAGGAGGCGGCCGCGGGCTTGTGCGAGCAGCAAGGCCCTGGGCTCGGAGGCATTTAGGGCATTTCCTTTTGCCGCTGTAAGGGGCCGAGCACTGGGCTAGAGAGGCCGCGGGTTTGACGCAGCAGGGCRTTTCTGATGTTCTTAGGCTAGTTTGATCCCACAAATCCTTACTTACAAAAGCAATCTTCTCTTGTGTAAGTAGCTTTGGGCACTCATGCAATATATGATTCTTTATCTGAGCATCAGATCCACGGGTTTTTTTAAAAGACAAAATGGGTCATCATCGTTTCTGTGTAAGTCTGTTTCACTTAATGGAGCCGCACCAAAGGTGAATCTGGTTTAAATAGGAAGTCTGTTCTTCTAAACCAGATACTTTCTCAGCCATTTTTTAAGTTTACCTACCAGGAAAAAAAAAAATAATAAAAAAAAAAATTAGCCCTATGTAGATTTAGGCATAAATATTGAAAGTGAGTAGGCCAAATGTTCACTATCACTGTATGGAAGTCAGCTGTGACTCCCAAATATTCTGTAGATATATATACATTTAAAAAAAAAAAAAAAAAAAACATTGTGGATGCCATTGAAATAGATGATTAACGTGCAGGCTTGAAAAATAATGCATTATCATGATGGCAGGAAAATTTAAGAAAAACAGAGCATTTATTATCATTGCACAGAACACCAAATGATGATAAATGCTTGTAAAAAAATCAGTTCACATTTTAATATTTTACATTTTAATTTACTTACAAACTTCAAATAATTTACAAGACCAACTAAGTGGAAAGCAGTATGAGATGGGTAGGAGTAAAAAATGAAATGAAAATTAAATACTAAGGAAAAGACTTGGTTAATGATTTACAGTGCCTGACCTACAATTCCTTCCTATAAAGTATTTATTTTTTTAAGTGTTCTTTTTGTATTTTAACTTGTGTGTGGGTGCTTGGGTCAATCTCTGTATTTTGGGGGGGACATATCTGTATATATCTGTAGGTCAAGTGAAGAGGGACTGAAGAACTCTCATCAATAAGGAAGTAATGTAGAAGCAGAAACCTGAACTGGTGTAAGCTCAAACTAGCTCACAACCTGCAACTTTTAAACGCTTGTTTGTTTGGTTTATGGCTTTTTTTTTTTTTTTTTTTTTTTTAATAGAATTGATATCTGATCTCCCCTTTAACAAAGGTCTCTTGTCCAAGATATTCTTTTGTGGTCAGAATGTTAAGTAGCTTAGTGTGATCAGAATGCCAGTCAAGTTGTTTCATAAGATCTCCGATTCCTCTGAACCTGTATGCACCTCWGTGTGGATTGCAAACATCTACCCCAAATTAGCTGACATTATGAAAAGCTGAAATCAAAAATATGAAAATAGCTTTATGCTGTTGGGTAGCATTCCAGCTGAACCACAGGAAAACATCATCATATGTGGACCTAGGCTTCTAGGTTTAGTCGGTATCAGCTGTCTGGCATCAAGAATTAATTATGTCATGTTATTTAATGTACATTGGAAACATAATACTAAATCGTAGATGCTATTTCAAAGAAAAAGRCTGCTGAAAGTTCTTGATGTCAGGCTACCTTGGTGTGAGCTCTACCTGTGCTATCCTTCTGTAGGAAATGTGTGTAAAATACAAATACRTATGAAGCTTATATACTTCAAACGCTGATTAAAAGATATGGGAGMAATGTGGACGTTAGACCGGTGTTTGCTCGATACCTAATCCAAGCTCCAGGGTTCAGGCCCCAAGGTTGTATTAAGTTTACAAAAACACCCCACCCTTCCCACTCCCAGCTCTCCAGGCCGGCCACACGAATCGGCTCCTCAGGTACCTCCACAGATACATTTCAACAACCTAAAATCTCCTGGGTGTCTGGAAAGGTAAACAGCACTTACCGGAGAGCCTCCCAGCAGCTAATGAACAGCAGCACCTAGCCCCACATCTCATAAATCTCCATGAAGTTCATGAATTCTCTTCTGAGAATGAATAACTAATAAGGTGGCTTTTCATGCCAGTTGTTGTTGCATTACACAGTATGATTTAGATGAGGATGCTACTATTAATAGCATTGAATGAGCTACTAATTGGATAGTTATGTAATGACATTGTTATAAAACCTAGTTTGGGTTTGACACCTTCTCTTTCCTAAAAACTACTTTAAAAACCCCAAACAAATTCATGGTTACCAATGCGTAACATCAAACAAAAGCTAAATAATGAGCAACCTTTCACAACTCAAATGGAATTAAACAAGAAAAAAAAAGTCAATTCATTTATCATAATTCTTGTAGAAATGAGCTGGAAGTGAATACTTTTACTTTCTTTTAATACTTGCCCCCGTAAGTATTGAGACAATAGTCAAAGCAGGACTCTTTCTGTGACTTGTGGAATCTTAGAAAGTTTTCCTGTTGAAAAATAGACATTGAATTAGATATAAGGTATACAGAAAACAGTTTACAGAGAGCTACCAAAACTACCAGAAAGTTTCTGTAAGACACACACTGATAAACATCATGTGCTAGTAGCAGGCAAAGATCTGAACTTCCTTTTTTTTTTACTGACAGTGCAGACGCAACTGCATAATGTGACTTTTTTTTTTCTTTTGAAATAACTTCTAAGAGATAGAGAAACAAATAGGGATGGCATTTTGTTCCCTGCCTTATGGAAGGACAGAAAATTGGAATCCATTTCCAATTGGAGAGAGGCTTTTAGCTGGAGTAGCTTTCTGCAGCCTCTCTGTTCCTGGTTATTCTGAAAGCTGGAGCATCACTAATACAACGTGCAGCATGAAGAACTTCACCTCTGTCCCTCAGTCATGAGGATGTTTTCCTCTTGATGCATCAAATGCAGCAGAATGCAGAGCCTATACCAGGAAGAAAGATTCCCCTAAAGGTCTGTAGTTATATGTATCTAATACTATATAAGGAGATAAAAAGCCTTGATAAAYCCTGTGCCGCTCTAATGCTCCTTGGTTTAATTTTTGACCATGAAATTAGCTCTTACCGCTGTGCCAGCAGTGGCTGTTTGATCAGTGTTATCTACAACCTTTTGCAGCTGAGGTAAATCCCGGCTGTCAGGTGAGGCCTGCCTCCTTAATGCATAAGCCAGGGATTCTTGCAYGAGCAGAAAAATGCACACTTAAGACGTCTGTCTATAAACACCCATTCTCATGCTTTAGAAGGGAAGTGCATTAGGCTGCTCTTAATTGAGTCCTCCCTTGGACTTCCCTGAGGGCCACAGAGAACAGTGCAGAGGAAAGCCGGGTGCTGTGCCAGCATCACGACATGCATGTAAGGGGATTTATCCCCCAAAACACACAGCGGGCAGAGCAGAAGGATCTTTCTGCAGAAGGCCTGACATACCCCATAGAGATACAGTTAGATGAACATGCACCACCACATGGATTTCCTTTGTCACGTGCRGAAGTTTTACAACCGGTAGCATTATTTTCTGTTGTGCTCTTTTTTTATTGCACTTTATCTGCCAACAGATACTACATTCAGCCTTTCTGACTCCAGCTTATTGTCAGTTCCACACGATTTTGCAGTGTCTATGTAATGATAAAAACCCTCATGCATCCAGCGCAATGTATTAGGAAGGTTTTACATCAATACAGGAAACCTCTACTTCAATCTGTCATGGTTAAAGCAGCTGGAGGAAGTAGTTGTAGGGCTTACAAAGATCCTGTTTGATGCACGATGTCCTACAACCACTCTAATTATAGCAAGCCTGCCTCAAAAGCTGGGATAACTTAGGGATGGGCAAATGTTGAATGGAGCAAGCCATTATATAAACCAAACAGGAATTTGGGTGGTCCAGATGTCTTCCACGTGTATCCCATTAATTATCAGGCTTTAGAATGTCTTACACATTGTGTAAGTATATGTCCAGCCTATTGACTTCACATGAATATTTTGGGACTACAGTGTAGCAAATAATACCAGACTCTTGCTCTAGAATAAAGCATGGCCATGCTCTCCCACTCCCGTGTATCAGATAAAATGAGTTTTATCTTAAATTTCTTTTTTCACTGCCTGTGTAGTTTTTCTGTGTTGTTACTGCTGTTTTGTAGTTTTGCTTGTTTGACAAGGATAGAGTATGCAACACAGTAGTACTGCTGTTTTGCATTCMTGTTGTAGCACCAAGGAGTTCAAATAGGATACAGATCTATTTTTTTATACACTTCAACATAGGACAGTTTCTTCAGAATATTTCTCTGATATATGAAGTTTGTTTGCATAAATTAGTAATTCAGAACACCTGTCCATGCTTAYAAGCTCTTAGTGTATGTGTATTATAATCAACACTGTTTTAAATATTTTTAAACACTGACTGAACCTTAAAAGGCTGTTACTTTAAATACTATGAAAATGCCTGAAAGTACCTTTAAATAATGGATCTTTTTTCATATGTCTGAASTCATGATATTTTTTTCTTCTTTAGTAGTTTTTTTCCACCATTTGCATTGCCTGCCTTTCTCCAGGATTAATGTCACCTGCTTTACTATGATGGTGTTTCTTAGAAGATGCTAATGCTGCCATTATATCTAGCTTCAACCAGTGTGTGCTGCTGGTGACAGCTTTTCCTGGTGCCTGAGAACCCAGACTTTCTCATTGGTGAGTACATACAATTCTTCCACAGTATTAACGTCTGGTRCTGTTTCCTCCTGAGTTTATATACTTCGTTTTTGCTGAATTGCTGACATTTTATGATAACGGCCAAAGTTCATAAGATAAATGAGAATTGTAATGTCTGGGCCAGCGTTTTCAATAATTTTGCAGTCAGACTACACATTTGCATGAAGAAATATCTGTTAGCGACAGCATTTGGATGATATTTTGTAACCCCAGCTTACAGRGTATTTTTAAAAAATATATGTTCCAAGCCCTTCTGGTTTTGTCATTTAAAGGCAGGAACACAGCAAGGTCGTGACTGCAGAGTGACTAAGGCTGGCACAGAAAAGCCTTCCAGAGTGATTAAGCTATTTAGGTGCTTTTTATCCATTTGTGGTATTTGGAAAGAAAAATCATAGAAGAAAAAAAGCATGAGCTGAAAGAAAGATGGTTTTCCAATGAAGAAAGTAAGAAACTACTTCTCTGTAGGAGATCATCCAGGAAATGCCACTTTCTGACTTCCTTTAGGCTTTGGTAGGTCATTATTGTAATAAATGGAAAGACTTTCCTGCAATTCTGAATTAGAAAGATTCGCTAGTTAAAAGTCAGCATGGGGAAGCAGCTTTCCTATAGCCTGTGTCAACCTGAGAGCAGAAGCTTGACTATAAATGTATTGCATTTCTAATTGGTTATATACTGTGAGATTGAGTTATTCCTCTTAGAGTCGCTGCCAAATGAAGTTAAAAAGCAAATTGCATAGGAATAATTCCTGCTGATTTTGAATGACAAAAACAATAAACAGAATCCTGTGGCTACCACTGCACTCCTTGGTACTGTTCTACAACAATGATCAGTACTATGAGGTGTAGTAAAATGTGTTTGGGAAGAAAATAATAGACAAAAGGAATGACAGTTGGTTCTGCTATATTAATTCTGATTGATTAATTCTGGTATTCACTGCRATAAATCTATATTTTCAGATAAAGTAAGACATAATAGTATGCATAAAGATTACGTGAAAATATTCTATATGTCTAATCATTACCTGGGCTATGAATCACTCTATATTCCACAATAATTGCTAGAAAAAATATTTATTTGAGCGAGAGCTTAGATACCATTAAGGAGATGAATTTAATTCAGCAGGTTCCTATGCGCTATATAGCCAATCAATTTTGCTTGAAATAAAAATGATAGCAGCACATCCATCATATTTCCAAGTTCCAAGAGAAAAGCTAGTGCTCCAAGAGTGAAAAGTTCCTTCTGGTTTATGTGATTTATTTGGTGCTAATATATTGAAAGAAACAGTGCTGTAAAGCTGATAAAGGCTCAGGCTGAGTTCAAGATTCTTCCTGCAATAAAATACAGTCTTTTCAAAAGCTATTTGCAGTATTTTATTTGTTGAAATCTTGGAAACAAGGGAGACAACCCTGCCTAGACTCAGCTAGATAGAGATTCTGAGCTTTCATATTGCAAGCTGCGTGTATGTGCCACCCCCAAAGTAGCATTATTATTTGCTGTTTCCAAACAGGCATCCAATAAAACTGCCCATCAATTCCTATTTTGATGGARGCTTATGTATGACATTGCCATCTGTCTAACAGGAGCAATACTAAGGTCACCTTTTGTTTTATTCCATTCAGTGAAGGGCCATTACATAAGAACTGCTTCAGTCACTGTCAGCATGAACTCTATTTGGATTATTCTAACTGAAAGGTCTGTATTCCTTTGTTCGTTCTATAAATTAGCCATGCTTATTCTGAATAAAAATGATGAGCAGAACAAATATTAAAATTGCTGATTCTGTCCCTTGCCTGAAAATATTCTCATTTGGTCAAATGTTCCACTGTGAAATGCCTCTGTCTGATCYGAGCAGGGGAATTCTGAAGCCTGGGTTGGTGAAAACACGTGCTCTTAAGTGACCCAAATGTAAGCAGTAAGCAAATGCTTATTAAATTTGACATATATCTGGAGAGAATGCAGGCAGTAACATCTCAGTTAAAGAGCTGATAGGATTATCTTTAATTTGCTCAATAAATAGAGAACCGTAAAGATGATTACAGCRGCTTTTTATACTACATGAAGAGAAAGAATAAATATCACATTACATATAAGGGATTGTAGTGGTCATGTTCACAGCTGTGCCTTTATCAAGATATTTCATGCAACAACAATAGATGTTCTGTGGAGCCTGCGATAACCCAGCAAAGGAAATGTCACAGAATGTTGACACCCTTGCAAATGATTAAAACAAAAACAAAAAGAAAGAAAAAAGGGAGTTCTTATATTAATGATTTGCATTTTGCAAATTAATTCTACTTGAAAGGGAAACAAACAGTTCCGTTCCAGGGAACTGAACTTACACAGTTTGCCCTTAATTCAAGGAATAATTTGTCCTTGATGGATTTTGGTCAGTGAATAGGAATATRTTTGTTTGCTTTCAGTACTCCAAAGCAGGCTGGGTGCAATACGTCAGAGGTAAGAAATGGCATTTTGACAGTGTTAAATTAACTTGAAGACTGGTTAATTGGGAGGTGTGCCTGTCATTATCTTTACATCCTTTCACTGTTCTCTTACTCTTAGCACTGCATGCACGTTTAGTGACCTAGGTCTAGGTCACTAAAGCAGTTACTGCATTTCTCCTCCACGTATATTTTAGGGCTCTGCAAGTCTCACACCTCCATCTTCCTCAAAAGTCAACCTTCTTTCCACTCTCCACTGCTTCAGTCCTGGCCTGTGCACTGGCTGTTTCAATAGCCACCCCCTTTCCGACTGAATCTGTCTTTCTCCCTCCAATTCAGTCTGTCTAAAACGTTGCTATCAAAATATTTTCCTTTTCTCTGCACTTCAAGAATACTCCCTTCCTTCTAAAATCTTAATATTGACTTATGTCTACATAAAGCTGCAAATCTCTTTTCACAGCTCTGAGTAGTTAGTTCCTACTTGGTCTGACCTCGTTGCATCTCGGCATGCCAGTGTTTGGTCTCCAGTGTTGTCAGTGTGTGTGTGTGTGCACGTTTGTGGGTATGGGGAATGGCTGAAGCCCACCACACTCCTACTGTTCTTCACTGCCTCCTCCTGTTCCAAGTTTTCCTGGAGTCGCAGTGTGAGGTTCCAAAAACTGACCATAGTTGCAGTGGGTTTACAGCACTAGAAAGTGTTCATTCACTTTGAATTCTTGAAATCAGCCTTCAAGTTATTTTTGCATGTAAAATCTTCATTTTAATTACTTTTTAATATTTTTCTGCTACTCTGTCCTCTAACTATAATGTATTTGTRTCTGAGTGAGGGTGTCTCAGCGAGGGTACGCATACCCGAATATATAGCTACTGACAGCATTTGGGAAACGAGCTCCCGGATATTGTGTGTATCAAATATATACAAGTCTAGCAAATATATACACAGTCTAGGAAGGCTTCACATAGCTCTGGGTGCTTTTGTGACTTTAGTGCTTGGAAACAAAATAGCCTAGCAAAACCTTTTCTGCCTTGCTCCTACAAAATGACTTTCAAGCTTCAGCAATAATTTTGACAGATTGCAAGCTAGCCGGGCTGGTTAAGAATATTTACAGCTCAGCATGCCCAAGCTGTTATCTTTACCATGCTCGTCAGGTGATTCACTGAAAACAGGGGAAAGAATCCTACTGACCTGAGCAGGTACTGGGAAACAGCCGGTTCAACTGGGAAGGGAAGAGTGATTTCTCTACAGATTAATGTAGCTGAAGGATGAAACAAGTAATAATTAAACTGCTGAATGGCTCGATTCTGAGAAGCATAAGAATGCCCTTCCCTTATTAAAGATACATTGTTCTTATGCAGTAATACTCCTGAATTTGAGAGTTTACAGTAACTTTTACAGGAGCATTCCATACTCTTTCYGTAAATCACTGGCCTTTTCTTTGCTGCATCTGAGGATTCAAAGTCTGCTGCCTTAGAGCCGTGGTGTTTATGACTTGGTCACCGCATCTGAATTCTTGAATTTAGGGTGCCGCTGATTTGGTCTCAGTTGTTAGCTGCATAAAATGGCTAGTAATGTTTGCTAGGGATTTGTTAAAAAATAAACTCAACTTAAAATTATACTAAGTTAAAAAGAAATCATCCTCTTTAAAAGCATCGTTTTAAATGCACTTTATTAGTTAAAAAATATCTTCAAATCAAAAAGATTTTAAAAAAAAAAATTTTAAAAAGGTAAATTTAAAAAAATTACCCAGTTCTCCTTGTGGAGAGGTAGAAGCTAAAGGGCCAGCATGTCCCACAGTCTGTCAGAACTGTAGGTCTCTCTGGCTTTTTTAGCCCAGAGAGAAACCTTGGCCTCCTGCATACCAAGAGCATGACAGAATCACTAAGCTATCAAACCGCTTATTCTGCCAACATCTTTCTGGTTCACTGACGAGTAAATTAATCCTAGGTAAGAGTGCTCCAGCAGGAGAATAAGGGAGAGCACACGCACTGCCACAGTCGGGTAGTAAGGTGCTTGCCAGGAGTATAAATAATGGATAAATAATTAATTTTCTTCAGAAGAACTGTCAAGAATCTGCTTCTCTGAATGTTTATGAACACATGGTGGAACAGCTCCAGAAAGGGATTGAGCAAGAGCTTCCCTGTGGAAGGAAAACACACGCTGGATCAGGTTGCTCTGCYGTTCCATCCCGGCTCTGAATGACTCACCAAGCAGTAGGAATGTTCAGGACTGGATCGGAGCGCCCGGGGCTCCTGACCAGAAGGTGTCCAGAAGGGAGCTGCTCTGGCAGAAGACAGTGGGACAACCTAATGTCCTAATGCTAATTGCTAGTCGAGCTATTAGGCTGCCTTCATYGCTTGGAAATGATAAGAGTGTGGGTGACAGACTGAGTCTCTAGCATACCAAATAAGGGACATTACCAGTGTTTCTGCCTCTCTGAAAAGAATATTCATAAAAGTGCAACAGCTCCAAGGAGAGCTCGAGAGGGATACAACATACTGCACAAATAGTTCAGTACAGGCCTGGAATCTGTTGACTCCAAGTTCTTGTTTACTGGATTTAAGACCAATCTTATAAGGGAATGAGCAACCACCTGTCCAGTCTGCTGAATGTTCTCTCAGGATCTTCTCTTCTAAATTTGTAATTCTGCAAAAAATATCTAAAAACATCAAGGGTCCTTGATTTCAAAGCAATTTCTTCTTCAATTGCTTATTATAATGCTATTACAGAAAGTCTAGTTTTGTCTTGGAGCTGAAATCCCASAGCAAAACACTTAGGGCAACAGACAAACAAACAAACAAACTATTCTTTCTTTCAGCAGGGAAACCTGCCCATCAGGCAGATGAGATGATCTCGTSCCCGGACAAGAGCTGAGGAGGCAGACGTGCACCTCCTTCAGCGGGAATACTTCTGAAGAGGCAATGGAATGCCAAACGATTGCAATAAATTGCACACCAGTATATCTTTACATAGATATGTGTGTACTTTTACAGATGGTTAATATATCTGGAATAATGTTTATTCAATGACATCACTGTAAGTGTTGACATGGATTTATTTTTACATTTTCACATTCAGTTTTCTATTGTATAAATATCTGAAAGTTCAGTTTACTACAGTATACTGTTCATGCTTTCCCAGCCATGGGGTTGTCAAAAAAAGATCTCCCAGCACAGGAATATTCCCCTTCCCCTGTCCGTGCTCCTGCTTTTGTGTTGCCTGGCCTTCTCCTACACCAGCGCATGTGCTTGTTCGATCCCATTGAAAGCTACTTCCAGTAGGAAAACCAGGAGAAAAAGTTGTATGTATGAAGTTAATTTTTCTGGTAAGTTAGTTCCTCAAGCTGCCTCATCTTGTGGGAAGACGAGCATTGCTGTCACTATGAGGAGGAGTGCAAGGAAGGGTGTGGGAATGTGCAGCTGGAGAGGAAAAGGTGAGGAATGTCACCCTTGCCGCGAGCTCCTTTGGTTGACTTGGCTCTTTTGGWTCCCATTATAAAGCAAGAAGATATGCATATCTGATTGTTCAAATTACATTTTTGCACCTTTAATTTAATAACAACATACCTGGAACTGCCTTGGTGTTTCAGATCAGTTGCACCAAGGTAGGAAATGGTTTGCCACAAGAACACAGGAAATCCTTGGGAAGGACCAAGTAGTTCAGTTCAAGACCATCTCTTACATAAAAACAGGTATTTATCTAAAATGGATATTACTTCTTTTTTTTTTAAGGATATTTTCTTTCTAGACCTTTGTTGTAAATGGTCACTGAATATTTTCATGTCCTTATTTGCAATATTCCTAGCAGCACTCATAATGAAAAATCTACACAAATGACCTTTTATAAACTCTCTGATTCTTTTAAAACACAATGAAATTGAAAATTTGTGTTTGCAAGTATCAGAAGTAAGATGAAAACCTCACTTTGACTGTCTGAAAATAAAGTCTTATAAAGACCCTGCTGAATAGGACACTTAAATACCATTTCCTTTGCCACAATAAATGTTGTTTCAGATTTGATACTTAAAAGCCTAATTCATTCCACTGAGCTGTAACATTTTGTTAAATTGCATAAACTATAGAGGAACCAGCTATTCACTGTCTTCTGTATTTGAACTGTTTACAGTTTTCTGTCAGAAATTTTCTGGAGGAGAAAAGCTTCCATATTCTGGGATTTTTTCAGGTTCGTTGCCGAGATTTGCCTTTCTGCATCCAATAGATCAACCACAAAGTAACCATTCCTGTGGCCTCAATAGAAACGAGAACCTTGATCCAGCTTCCAGAAGTTAAGCCTGTGGGCCAGCGTCTTGGCTGCCATTCTGGCTGCCTTGGTCTAACCCAAWAGGGTTTGGAGAATTTAGGGGTACTTAAATGGCAGCTATGAATTAGGTTGTGTTTCAGCTCAGGAGCCAACTACATTTAGAGAGGATTGTTGTAAAAAGAAAAAAATCTCCCAACTGAAATGTATCCAAGCTATTCATCACTTCCCTTTTATCTCTTTTAATGGAAATTCTCCAAATTCTATGAGACCAGTCTTGTAAACAATTATTTTCTTTCCTTAATTTCCACAGTAGTATTTGTACTTGATTTCTCTCTGAAATTCTATCTATACTACTATTTCTCTCAGAACTCTTTGGTTCTGCCTTGGATTTTTTTTTCCAGATTGGGAAAATGAGAAGAAAACAGAAAAAAAGAAAAAAAAAAAAAGAAAGAAAAGAAAAAGACTTTAATACTTTCTTTTAGCACTTTTTGAATTAAGTGATAATATATGAGACAGTAACAATAGATACTTTTCCCAAATGTTTTTTCTTGGAAAATACTATTATAGAAAAAAAATAAATACAACATTTCTTTTTAGTTTTTGAGGGAATTTTTGGTTTTTGAGTGCCTATATATAGATAAGGAACCTGGCAGACATGTTCCTATAAATACTTGCAATCATCAGACCATGCTGGGGTTTCAGTATGCTGATTGTGTTATTTATGCAGATATATACAAAATTATGCATGACTTGCATGTTATATTCTTGTTAGAAGAGGCTGAGAAGTATGCTACCATACTGTGTGCTGCCTTTTTTTTTTTTTTTAGGAAAAAAAAAATGCATATTCTCTTCACTGGTGTGAGACTAGTTTCATTCTTTTCCCAGTGTAAATTTGCTGGTGCAAATTGAAATGTCCTCTCATTTTTTTGTACTTGCATCGCTGGATGTAACGTTCCCCTGGAGAGGACCTTGCACAGTAAATGTTTTGTACGTGGTGACAGGTTTCAGAGACTTTCCCCACAGCTGTGTTCGGGCCGTGCACCTCTGGGTCTTGATCTTCACTTGGCAGCTCTAAACTTAAGGAAACCTTTGTGGATTTTTTCTGCCTGTGTATTTTCCTTCACACAGCGAAGTAAGGATTTAGATGCGTAACTTTTAGACTGCCTGCTTAGACTCGAGCTGCAGGCTTCATTTTGTGGGGAGGCTCTAGCTGTAACGCAAGCTGACGTATCCAGCGCTTTAGATGGTGAAAGGACTGTGAAGATGTGAACTTGCTGTTATCCTGCCCCTCTTGCCGAGTGATCAGAAGGGGATGAAAGCAAAATGAGATGGCTTGCCCAAAGCCACGCARATGATCATGGGCAAAGCCTACGCTACAAAGGTAAGTGAAGTTAGAAAGGCAGTAGTGGCATATATAAAAGCAGTTACCTTAGAAAAGTCTTGTTAATGCTGTGAACATTCAAAGTGGGGACATAACAGAGTTTGGGTTTTGAAAATTCTTGTAGCTACATTTCTTCACCTGTCTATATGTTTAAGTTTTAAATAGTATGCATTTTAGAAAAAAAAATATTTAACACGTTATTGGAGATAAATTAATAGTGACTGTTTTAGAAAATGTTATGGGTAAAGCACCTACAAGCATGCACACACATTTTGCATTCCCCTAAAAAAGAGTGTCACTATGCGAAAGTTTTTACACCAGCCCCCTTTCAGTACTGCTTTCAGCGGCATTACACGGAGGCCCTTTCCGGCCCCGCTGTAGCGCAGCAGGCGCGCAGCAGGCGCGCAGGGTCGCGCAGAGCCGCTCTTCGCCGCGAGCCGCGGCGCGGGGGCGAGTTCCCCTCCGCGCTTCACCCTCCCGCCCAGCACGTGCTCGCGGCCGTTGAGCGCGGCCGTTGAGCGCGGCCGTTGTGACGCCACGGGCCGGGGCGCGCGGCGGGGGCGGGGCGCCCCGCGGCCGCCGCCGCTGTTGCCGCCGCCGCGGCGCGCGCACGAGCAGCAGCAGCGGCCGCCGCCGCCGCCCCCGCGGGGCGGTTGGTGACGTCAGGCGGTCGCCGAGGAACGGGGCGCAGGTGCATCC